GACCTTCAAGCAACCAAATCGCCTCAACGCAAGCAAATCCCACGACCCAGATTCAAGCCTCAACGACTTCAACGGGACAACCTGCACAAGGAGCAAGAAACATCGTCAGCTGCATGGCAAAGCTGAGTGACTCTTGCATCACCGAGTCACCACCACACTACTCACCGGAAGAACAACTCGACGAAACCACATCCCGCCGCAAGTCACTTCAGCCGAATCCGACATACGCCGCCATCGCCCAAAGCGAACCATCCGGAAAGGACACATGGTTCTGGGACAGTTGCTACGGACAGCACATGTGCTCCTCGGGACGCTTCGTTCAACGAGAACACCAACTTCAATGCGAAGTTGTCATTACAGTCGCCAACAATAAGAACCTGCGAACACGACGACAAGGCGTAGTTCAACTTCAGTCAAGGGAAACAAACGTTATACTGCAGATGTCAAAAGTATTAATCGCGGAGGGACTCAGCTACAACTTATTGAGCGTCAGTCAGCTAATGGCGAAAGGGATTCACCTCGAAGCAGACAGCACCACCCAAGAATTCAAGCTGTATCACGGGAGAGGAGGACTTTACATCGGCAAGGCGGTCCTCAAGAGCAACGTCTTCGTTCTCGATTTCGTTCCTGATCTTGGCACCGCCGACAGCGACGCCATCGTTAACTTCACCAACTGGACACACCCTCCAGACCTTGATCCAGACTTCAGTCCAGAAGGCTTCTGGTATTCACACACCATCCCTGAAGCAGAAAGAACAAGGGCGTTACCAACAATTCAGACAACATCAGCAGCAACAGAGACAACATCGGCAGCAGCAGAGACAACATCGGCAGCAGCAGAGACAACATCGGCAGCAGCAGAGACAACATCGGCAGTAGTAGAACCATCAACGGCAGCAGCAGGAACGTCAACACCAATTGCTGGTCCTTCAACGACACCGCTCCTCATCGACGACACACCACCGACACCCGCGCAACAACTACACCCAGCACCATAAGAAGTTCATCGTAGCGCCAACTTCTACTCCAACTCCGATATGTACCGACGATCACCCGGACATCACGCCGACGAAAGCACCTGGCACGCAAGGATGGGACACCCAAGAAACACAGTATTAAACAATACGATAAGAGCACGAGTACTCGACAAGGACTCACTCCTACTGACCGACGGACGAGAACTTCAACGAGTACGCGGAACGTGCTTCACCTGCCCTGAAGGTGACTTACCACATCGACCGTTTGCGTCTCATCACAACCCGAGCGCACCCGCGTACGCACCACTCGAGAAGGTGTATAGCGATATCCTGTACAATCGGGAACTAGGACAAGTAATATACAACTATACATTCACCTTCATCGATGCCGCCACCCGTTACGTCTAGCACCTAAACCTCCCTAGCCGCGACATGGCATTCGCAGCCTTCGTTGCCTGGCTACCAGTAGCAGAGAGAGAATCGGGCGTGAAACTGAAAAGCTTCCAGTCGGACGGAGGAGGAGAATACACCTCTCAGCGATTCAAGCAGTACCTGGCGGAAAGGGGAATCAAGCGGCTCATCTCCCTTCCCTACGCCCATCAGCAGCAAGGTGTAGCAGAAAGAATGAACAGGACCTTGCAGAACAGCATGCGCAAACTGTTACGTGGCATGCAGCTACCCAACCACCAGTGGCCTGCGGCAATGGACCACGCCGTCATGCTGCACAACTTGCTCTCGTCATCATCGCTTCCAAACAACGCATCACCGCATCTGCTATGGACAGGGAAATAGGGCAGCACAAAAATGTTACGAGTATTCAGATGCATGGTACAGTACCGACCCCCAGCAGCACGAGCGGGCCGATTTTCTCAACGAGCACAGTGGGGACTACACCTGGGGATCTAAAAGAACTACAACGCGTGGAAAATCTTCGACGTCCATTCCAAGGAAACAGTAGCAGCACGTGATGTAATTTTCTACGAACGACTCACGCTCCAGACATACCTTGCCAACCTGCAAGAAGACCAGGATCCCACAGGTGGTTTTCGCGGTGAGCGAGCCTTCGCCTCAGCAGCGGACGATGCTGACTGGGACGAGCAGAATGTGGACAACGCATCAGAAGAAGCCGGACCTCTTCCGTTCTGCTCCGTCGACGTTCCCATGGACGAAGATAACCCTCGCGAAAGTGTCAACGCCGAAACCTTCTACTATTTCGCCGACAACGGTTACGTAACACCTGCGACAGTCAACACCAACGAAGCAGAACGAGTAGGACCCAAATTCATACCTGATCCAGAAGCGGGAGATGAAGCAGCTTATCCCGAGGACGCAAATCTTCCCCGCTACTCACAGAGTGGACTGCAAATTCTCGGACTCGTCACCGCAGTCCACGGCACCGCCATTCCTAAAGAGCCTGCGACGGTTCAAAAGGCTCTGGGGGGGGAGCATAAGGAAAAATGGCGCGAAGCCATGGACAAGGAGCTGAAGGCACTGGAGGAACGCAACACGTGGAAAGTGGTTCCTATCGGCGTGGCACGGAACAAGACAGTGCTCACCGGGAAGTGGGTCTTCCGTGTGAAGACAAAGGCTGACGGCACCATTGACAAATTTAAAGCTCGCTGGGTTGTACGCGGCTTCGACCAAGAACATGGACGCGACTTCACCGAAACTTTCGCTCCGGTTAGCCGCCACACCTCACTACGCATTCTCCTCGCAATCGCCGCCATGAAGAAGAAGAAGCTGCGACAAATTGACGTCGCGAACGCGTTTCTCTACGCACCTGTTGATGCAGAAATTTTCGTCGAGCTACCGCACGGCTCCCACAGAGAACCCAACCAAGTCTGCCAGCTACTCAAGTCACTCTACGGCATCAAGCAGGCTCCGCGACTGTGGCAACAGTACCTGCACGCTCGCCTCATCCGCATCGGCTTCAAGCAACTACCGCACGATCAAGGCATGTACCGGCTCACAAACAACGACGACTACATCCTACTAATCGTCTACGTGGACGATCTCCTTTACATCGGCTCGAATGACGGCATTACTACCTGGTTCGAAGGGGAGCTGCAGCGAGATCTCACGCTCACAGTTTCATCTACCGTCACTCTGTACCTCGGCCTCAACATCCGGGAAGAGGAGGACGCGATCTACCTCAGCGCCGAGAAATATGCCGACACCATCGCCAAACGCTTTACGCTCACACCGACAGCCATCTCCACGCCATACCGCTACACGGCAGGGAACGACAAAGGAAGCTCCGCTCTACTCAAGCCCGCCGGCATACGAGACTACCAGAAGAAGCTGGGATGTCTTATCTTCGCAGCCGTCACCTGTCGCCCCGACCTCTCATACTCCGCAAGCCAGCTCGCCACCTACCTCAAGAAGCCTGAAGCAGAACATCTGGTGGAGCTCTACCGCGCTCTTCACTACTTCGTCAGCACCCCAACGATCGGCCTAACTTACTACAAGAACGCAACCACACCGACTAAGCTAATCGGGTGCGTCGACGCTGATCACGCTGGCGACTCCGACAATATGCGCTCCCGCACCGGCTACATCTACCGCCTCGAACCTATCGGACCTATCTCTTGGCAGTCGAGCAAGCAGGAATAAATTGCTCTCTCGTCAGCTGAAGCAGAATATATTGCACTCTGCTCAGCCACCAAGGAAGGACTCTATCTTCACGAGCTGATGGAAGAAGCGAAGTTAGCCGAGTTACCCAACTTTACCCTGTTCTGCGACAACCAGTCGGCAATTCGCATCGCCAACAAGAACGGCTTCGCGAACAGGACGAAACACATCGCCCTGCGATATTTCTTTGTGAAGGAGGAGATCGAGAAGGGAAGGCTCGAGCTGTCATACTGTCCCACGTCCGAGATGGCAGCTGACTACCTGACCAAGAAGCTCGGAAAGCAGAAGTTCGAATACTGCATGCTGCTGACTGGACAGAGCCACGTCAGCGACACTCCAGAAGCAAAGGGGAGTGTTGGAAAGAATCGGTCCTAAGCGCCTCTGTCGTGTCGAAACACTAAGACACAAAAGAAACGAAGTATAACGAACCACCGGCGAGTCAACCCTCGGAGGTTGAAAGTAACTGTTGGAGGTTATGCGAAAGTCGAAGGTCAGCGACCTTTGACCTGACAAAGTATAGCGCGACAGCAAGGACAAACAACTTACTCGGTATTGAGCAGTTGCCTGAGTCGTCACTGTATCAAACCGCAACAGCAATAGTAAAACGGCTATTAACTGTATCTCTTCGTATTCCTTCTACTCTTATAAAAGCTTGTATCTCTTTGTTTTAATCAACTTACTTTGCCCTCACATACTAGCGCAAGGTGGTTCACAACTCTTTAATTAACGCTTCCGCTACTACACCAACTCTACCCAGAGTTCACCCCTGCAAAAATCCTAAGGGTTTTTCAGCCCAACAGAGGTCAAAGGGCCTCCAACCCTCGTTATATACTCGGGAACAAGCATTCGCAGTTCCTTGCTTCACTACAGTCAGCTGCGCTTTCACAATCTTTATTTTTAGAAAGTGATTCACACTTTCAAAAAAAAATCATATCTGTGGAAGCCAAAGTCAGTCTGGTGGTACCACCATAGTATTGAAGCTGACAGACAACAATCACACCAGCAAGGGATAAGAACTGGTGAAATTTGTGGTAACAGTACCCTATATTGGCTCTTGGTTTCGCTGCACAGTATTTTTGAATGGATTGCATACAAACTAGCAGAAGCTCCGCAACCACTGGTGCATTCTACAGTAAATGCCTAAGAAAGCTCAAGCATCAACTCCTGCCTGATGCCATTCCCTCCTCCCTGTGTCCTTGCAAATGTTGTAAGAATCTGCTGTGCTGAGGCAATGGTAGGCTGTCTTCTAACATCCCATTGCAAGAATCCCCTTTCTAACATGTCATGCACATCAGCAGCCACGGATACCCTTTTCTCCTAGTTCCAACCCACCTCTCATTCCCTGCCAGTAGTCCACCTGTCAACCACACGCCCCCTTCTCTCCCCATGCTGCTACTTCCCTCCGCGGGTCATGTTGGCCATCTGGCCGCGCACAGCCCCCTGGGGGAACGCGGAGGTGGCGATGAGAGCGTGGAAGGAGGCGGGGGCAGCGAGAATGGTGCTCACAGCCGCAGCCACAGAGCCGCCCGCAGCGGCGGAGAGGGACGACGCGTTGCCCCACACGCCCCTGGCGCCGTAGCTGAAGCGCGCAGCCGCAGGGGGGGCAGCAGCGGTGGCGTTGGAGGCGCGATGGAAGGGGCGGGTGGTGTTGGTCCAGGCGGAGGCGGGGAAGGCGAGCAGCAGCAGGGCAGAGGCGGAGGCGGCGCGGCCTGCGTGGATGGAGGCGGCGGTGGGAGGGGAGGGCGAGGAGAGGTGCGCGAGGGAGAGCGAGTAGTGCACGTCCATGTCAGTGGCCGTCCTGGGGAGAAAGGGGAGGGGAAGGGGGGTGAGGAGAGAAGAGAGAGGGTCAACACAGGAGGGTCAACACAGGAGGAAGGGGAGGGTAAAGCGGAGAAGGAGTTAGTGTGAGGAGAGGAGGAAGGGCCAAACCAGGAGGGCTGAGATGGAGTGTGGACAGCAGAGGAAGGCGTTGCAAGAGCAGAGAGAGGAGGGCTCAAAAGCAAGTGAAAGGAGAAGCAGAGCCATGGCGGTGCAAAAGAGAAAGAGGAGAGAAGGAGCGTGGAGCGGCACTGACTTGACAAGCTTCAGCTCCAGGCGGCCCGTGGCATTGGCCATGCCTGCTGACCCCACCATCTGCTCGCCACTCATCCGCGCGCCCACCACACCTGCCATGGGAAAGCAAGCAAGCAAGGCGTCAAGTCCACCGCCTTGCGACACACTGCAGCAATGAATGAACATAACAGAGTCATTGGAAACGCGCCCGCTTCGTCAGCCACAAGTGACCAATAAGACGTCAGCATCAGTGGTGCGATGATGCGATTCCACTCACCAATCACGCTGCCTCCTCGCCCGCCACGCCAGCCACCAGCACCGCCACCAACCTTGTGCATCCCACCACCACCACCACCACCACCAGCTGCAGTACCGCGCTTCAGCCTCGTGCCATTCACGTGCCTCGTGCCATGCACGTGCCCCTTCCCTCCCGCCACACGAGTTCCGTTCGCCGCCATGTGACCATCAAACGACTTGTGCTGCTTCACGCCCATCGTCTGCTGCTGCCCCTGCCGCTTGCTGCCAGCCGCCTGCACTGCCGCCTGCTGCGAGCGGGCAGGTTTCTTTCCAGACGGAGTTGATCCGCTCGCACCGGAGCTGCCCGCCCGCTTGTTGGTTGGAACAGCCTTGTCCCTCGCCTCCCCTGCCTTGGCCCTAGCACCCTTGCCCCTCGCCTCGCCTGTTGTCGCCTGCGACCGGGTCTTGCCGGCGGCTTCCGCGAGGACTGAAGGGAAGGGAGGCGGCGAGGGAGGATGAAGGAACAAGACGGGCATGAGCCCGGGTGGGGAGCGAATCAAATCGTTGACTCGAGCCAAGAATCGACAAAGATGCTGCGAGGATTCGCAGAGTTGACTGAACGGACCTCGAGACGATTGACAAGCATGACGAGACGAAAGGGACCCTGGGAAGTAACGAGAGAACGCGACTCACTGGCCGTGGCGACGAGCGCAAGCAGCGCGAGAAGCAGGAAGCGCCGCGTGGAAGCCATGACGCAGCGTGGCGTGAAGTCGATGAACGCGAAAGCTCCAAGGTGAGAGCGGAGGGCAGCAAGCAACCGATTGGAGAGCGGAATCTGGGATCGTAGCGTCTCAGATGCTGATTCTAGCCGAAGTCGAAATGTCCACAGAGTATATTCGAGAGCGCCGAAGCACGGTACTCAAGGGAAGCAGTAAAAGCTGTCACTAGCCAGTTCGAGTGATTTACGAGAGAATCCATCACGCCTCTGCTTTTTATAGAAGATTGAATATGGACGAACGTGATTCGACGCCGAATCGCCTTGCCAGCGATCAATTTCGATACATTCCGTGTCGTGAATTTGAAATGCGGTACGGAAGCCACCGACAGATGAGGAGCCTTAGTCAGTACTACTGACTAGTAATCACTGGCCTTGACGATTGCTGATATATCACAGATAATACCCGACACAGCTAACTGCCCGTGGAAAACTTATGGCGGGAAGAGGCAAGTGCGCGGGTGGGATGAGGGAATACTGGCTGCGCTGGATGCGGGAAAGCAGGTTTTGACCAGCCCAGGCAGGTGTGTCTCGGGGAGCACGTACGCCTTACGGGAAGTGCTCGTCATAGCGCGATAGAAACTAGGTGAAGACGGAAGTGCTTAAACATGTGAATTTAGGAAACCGGATTTCAACTGCTGCTAGGTAAAATGAAGCTCCACGATGAATGAGAGATACCACTGACCTTTTGAGTACCCTATGTTGTGATAACCCGGGGAACGTTTGGACATGATAAGGGCCTTTGGGTAAGACAGCGGAAGTCTTTGAATGACCTTATCATAGTGAACGTGAATATAAAGAATATTAAAGCATTGCATATGTTTGGTTAATATAAACCTAGCTAGCCATGTGTTCCGAGAGATACATTCACTTATTCCCTTGTCCTGTTTAACGATACCGCCGGTAGGACTGTTGCGACTCACCGACTGCAGATGCCTCAGATGCTGCTTCTAAGCCAAGTCGTAATGTAGACAGGGTATGTTCTGTTTGGCTGAAAAACCCTTAGGATCTTTGCAGGGGTGAACTCTGGGTAGAGTTGGTGTAGTAGCGAAAGCGTTAATTAAAGAGTTGTGAACCACCTTGCGCTAGTATGTGAGGGCAAAGTAAGTTGATTAAAACAAAGAGATACAAGCTTGTATAAGAGTACAAGGAATACGAAGAGATACAGTTAATAACTGTTCTACTATTGCTGTTGCGGTTCGATACAGTGACGACTCGGGCAACTGCTCAATACCGAGTCAGTTGTTTGTCCTTGCTGTCGCGCTATACTTTGTCAGGTCAAAGGTCGTTGACCTTTGACTTTCGCGTAACCTCCAACAGTTACTTTCAACCTCCGAGGGTTGACTCGTCGGTGATTCGTTATACTTCGTTTCTTTTGTGTCTTATTGTTTCGACACGACAGAGGCGCTTAGGACTGATTGTTTCCAGCACTCCCCTTCGCTTCTGGAGTGTCGCTGACGTGGCTCTGTCCAGTCAGCAGCATGCAATATTCGAACTTCTGCTTTCCGAGCTTCTTGGTCAGGTAGTCAGCTGCCATCTCGGACGTAGGACAGTATTGTTGGGAACAATAAGTCTTAAAGCGCCTCTGTCGTGTCGAAACTCAGGACACAAGCGAAGCAGTCCAAATCGAAGCATCGCGAGTCAACCCTCGGAGGTTAGGGTAACCGCCTGGAGGTTACGCGAAGGTCAAAAGTCAGCGACCTTTGACTTGACAAATACAGCGCGAAAGAAAGGACACACAACTGACTCGACATTGAGCAGTTGCCCGAGTCGCACTGTATCGAATCGCAACAGCAAAACAGTTTAATTATATCTATTCGTATTCCTTGTACTCTTATATAAAGCCTTGTATTTGCTTGTTTTAATCAACTCACTTTGCCCTCACATACTAGCGCAAGGTGGTTCAAGGACTTTTCATTCAAACGCTTCCGCTATTACAATCCTACTCAGACTTTAACTCTACAAAGAGCCTAGGGCATCTCAGCCCAACATGGTATGAGAGCAGATAGAGTTCAAAGTTACTTTTTCTCTTAATACTTAATACAAGGAAGACATGTCTACTAGGAAGGAAAGGAGCTCCTCCAACGGTTCTCCAGGAACTACCCCTACTCCACCTCCTGTCTCTGGTCTACAGACGGAAGAAGGGACTACCACGAGACCAGCAGCTGGGTCTACGGAAACGCCCGCAGGCTTCGATCCAAGCATGATGGAGAAATTCTTCTCCTTCATGTCCTTCTACGAGCAGCACCAGCAAGGAGTACCTGCGCAGTCAAACAACAACAACAACAACAACGTAACTCCTATGAGTCTCGACGGCTCATCCTACGCACGCGGAATTCAACAACAACAACAGCAGCCTACCTTTGCGCCGTACGAGCCCCAGCGTGGCTCCGTCAGCTTCATGCCAAAACCGCAATCTGCACCGGGACAAGAAAGGGCATTGGACGCATTACAAGTTCAATCGCAATTCGCGCATGTTCTCAAGTTGCAAACGACAAAGCCTTTCGACGGAAAAGACTTCTTCACCTGGTCGTTCGAGTTCGAACTGATGATGGAAGGAGCATGTCAGAACATATAGCTTACTTGTTTCTGTAGGCTATAGTGGGGTATCTCATAGGGGGTACAACCCAAATTAGGGTTTCCTATTTGTACTCACTTCGTTCATAGTCATTCCATTCTCGTTCATATCTTCTCATGGAATCAGAGCAGGTCCCTTCCTAGGGACTGTTCCTAGGGCCCACCGAAGCGCGCCCCGAGGCGCGCGTTTTTTTTTTAGCGACCCTCCGTATCGCCCTTACCGCCGTGCTCTCGCTTAGGCCCCTCGTCGGTCTTGCTTAGGCCCCTCGTCGGCCCCTCTTAGGCCCCTCGTCGGCCCCACTTAGGCCCCTAGTCGGCCCCACTTAGGCCCTGTCGGCCCCGCTTAGGCCTCGTCGGCCCCGCTTAGGCCCCGCTACGGCCCCGTGTCGGCCCCGCTTAGGCCTCGTCGGCCCCGCTTAGGCCCCGCTACGGCCCCGCGCCGGCCCCGCTTAGGCCCCGTCGGCCCGCCTAGGCCCCGCTACGGCCCCTCGTTGGCCCCGCCTAGACCCCGTCGGCTCGCCGTAGACCCCGCTCCAGCCCGCCGTCGGCCCCGCTATAGCCCGCCGTCGGCCCCGCTACAGCCCGCCGTCGGCCCCGCTACAGCCCGCCGCCGGCCCCTGCTACAGCCCGCTGTCGGCCCCGCCCCAGCCCGCCGCCGGTCCCGCTACAGCCCGCCGTCGGCCCCGCTACAGCCCGCCGCCGGCCCCGCTACAGCCCACCGTCGGCCCGCCTTCGGCCCCGCTACAGCCCCGCTACAGCCCCGCTACAGGCCCGCCGTCGGCCCCGCCGCCCGTGCTGCAGCCCGCCGCGCCACCGTGCAGCCGCCCGTGCAGCCGCCCACCGTGCTGCCCGTGAGCAGCCCCAGCCGCCCGTGAGCCGCCCGTGCAGCCGCCCGCGCCGCCCGTGAGCCCCTGCGTCACCCGAGCCGCCAGTGGAGCCGCACTCCTGCTCCTGTGGGGCCACTGCTGCTCCTGGGCTGTGTTACTGTGCCGCTGACCTACCCGACTTTTCCTGCCCGGTGAGACTGTCAGCTGCTGTCATGGCCACCCCCACTGTCCTAGCTTTAGACGGTGAGGGTAGAGCCATTGACTTTGCAGTCTGGATTGAAGACCTGCAGCTGTACTTACTGTGTGATGCGATAGATGAGGTCTCTCTCTTTGACTTTGTCTCTGGCGCTGTCCCTGCCCCTCCTGCTGATGCTGACCCCGCCGTTCGCTCCAAGTGGGCGACCCGCGATGCTGCTGCACGTCTTGCTGTGCGTCGCCACCTCCCTTCCTCCGAGCGTGCCCACTTTAGTCAGTGCAAGACCGCTCAGGCCTTGTACGACGCTGTAGTTGCACGCTACTCCTCCCCTTCCTCCGCTACGCTTAGCCGCCTCATGCTACCGTTTCTCTTCCCTGACCTCGCTGCCTTTCCCACTGTTGCTGACCTCGTTACCCACCTCCGCGCTAGTGACGCTCGCTACCGCGCTGCCCTTCCTGCTGAGTTCCGCGCCGCAAACCCTCCTCCCATGTACATCACTCTCTACTTTCTCGTCACTCGTCTCCCTGAGTCCCTTCGTGTAGTTAGGGACCAGTTTCTCTCTGTCTGTCCCACCACCCTCACTGTCGACCTCCTTGAGGAGTCCCTGCTAGCGGCTGAGAAGAGCATCGTCGCTGTAGGGGCCTCTCGGGGTGACCCTCGCACCCCCATTTTTGAGGGGTGTTCTCCTTCCCCCCTGCTGCCCTCTGTCGCCTCTGCCGCTGCGGCCGACCTCGCTGGTTTTGAGTCGGTCGGTGCGGCGTCTGCCCCCAGCAGTAGACGCCGCAATGGCAAGGGCAAAGGGGGCAAGGGAGCGGGTGGAGCTAGAGGGGGCGGTGGCGGGGGAGGTGGGGGTGGCGGGGGGAGTGGGGGTGGCGGTGGAGGTGGTGGCGGGAGTGGAGGTACTAGTGGAGGCGGTGGAGGCGGAGGTGGCGGCGGAGGAGGTAGCGGAGGAGGCGGGGGTGAGGGTGCCGGTGGGGGCGGTGGCGGTGGAGACGGGGGTGGCGGTGGAGGCGGGGGTGGCGGTGGCGGCGGGGGTCGGGGTGGCTCGTTTCAGCGGAGCAGCTCTGGGGGTTGTCAGCGCCAGCAGCAGCAGCAGCAGCAGCAGCCACAGCAGCAGCAGCGCTCTCGCACTGTCCCCGCCCCTCAGCAGCTCCGTGAGTG